TGTCAGAAGGGACCATTCCCTGGAGAAAGATGTCATGCTTGGCAAAGTGCAGAGTCAGCGACAAAAGGGAAGCCCCTCAATGAGGTGGACTGACACAGTGGCTGCAATGGTGGGCTCAGATATAGCATGGATCGTGAGGCTGGTGCAGGACCAGGCAGCGTTTCATTCTGTTGTGCACAGGGTTGCTATGAGTCAGAGTCGACTCATTGGCACCTAACGATAAAACTTCTCCAGCAGTTTTAACTAGGTAAATAAGATGTTCCTTGTTTTCAGTAAATCTTAGAAGCTACGGGTGGAACTGCCTTCTATGGTTAAGTGGTTTTCATCCCTGCCTACCACCTAAGTGGATATGTTTCAGCAGTGGTAGAGTGAGTCCTGTGTTTGCATTAACTACCTTACAGAGGCAGGGAGAGACTTAACAAATTATTTGTTGTGAGGTGCTTTAATATCTTTGGATGAAAGGCACTATAGCAGTGTAAAGCATTCCTATCCAGGTTCTGGTGCAACATGAGTGGAATTAAAACAAATTCAATTTCTTATCTGAGTGTTTGTGTACAGATCACTGTTTGGCTGAAATGACAGACATTTTTGAGATCCAGCTGAGACTTGATTTTGGAATGATCACCTTGTTCACCCTCTCCTTCACTTCTTCACCATTCTGAGACTAATGGAAATTGAGAGATGGCATCTAAAGCCATAAAGCACATAACTAAAATAATTTTCTCTGGTTCCTGACATTTCCGCCCCCCTTCCCCCCACTTCAGATAAAATTAGGCTTTTGAGTCAATATTCAGCCCTTGAAGACATAGAAATTTCCAGTAACGGGTAAATTTCATTATGGTCTTCAGAAAGGGTCTCCCCGCTTTCCAAATGCAGTTTTATAGATAACCCCACCACCAAAGCCCTGATCCACTAAGCACTATGCTTCTATCAGTTGGCATGAACTCCAAAGCAGAGATCAGTCTGACCTTAGGTCATGCTATGGACTGCTAACTATTGTTGCTGTTGTTTGTACGCTGTCAAGTTGATTCCAACCCTATAGGACTGAGTAGAACTGCCACACAGGGTTTCTAGGCTGAAATCTTTATGGGAGTAGATCACCAGGTCTTTTCTTCCATGGAGTGGCTGGTAGGTTTGAACCACTGACTTTTTTGTTAGCGTCTAAGCACCCAGCCATTGTGCCAGCAGGACTCCTTCAGTGCTACTAAGGGCTCATAATATACTATATAAAGCATGTCAGACAAGACCACAAGCTGCATCCTGCAGAGATCTACCCATTAGTTGGTAGACAAGGCTATTTATCATCCTTCTTTCCCATGTTACCTGGGATTCAGAATTGACTTGACAGCAACTAACAAGAAGTCTGTGTAGAAATGACAAGGTCTGGGTTAAGCATTTAGACGAGTTTTGCCCTTAAATCTCAGTATAGCACTGGGCATTTGGGAAGGCTACTGAACACTGGGCTGGGCTGGATTATAGAGTCAATATACTCTAAAGATGGCTACTGTTAGTCTACAATTCTTGATTCCAGACTTCTGTACTCACTGCCTCCTATATTTCTCCCGTCATAACACTTTGGCAACACTCATCCACATACATTTATCAAGCCCTCCTATGTGTTAACACCGTGCTGGGTGCAGGAGATGCAACCATGAACAAGGCCCTCAAGGTCCTTGACTTGAGGACTTTTCTTCTAGTGGAAGAAGAGAGAAATAAGCAATTAAATAAACATGGTAATTTCAGACTGTGAAATGTTATAAAGAAAAATGAATAAAAAGTAGTGATTGCTTTAGGCAGGGTGGTGTTGAGGTGAAGAAGCTTTTCATAGCAAGGCCTGGGTCAGTCTTACTCATGGTGGCAGTGTTAGTACCAGCACATTTCCTATTCAAAAAACCAAACTCACTGCCATCTAGTTTACTCTGATTCATAGCAACCTCCATCAGGTTTCTGAGGCTGTAAATCTTCACGGAAGTACATTGCTCCATCTTCCTTCTGTGGAGCAGCTGGTGGGTTTGAATCGCTGACCCTCTGGTTAGCAGCCAAATGCCTTATCCACTATGCCACCAGAGTGCCTTGCACAATATTAAAAACCAAATAAATACTTAGTTGGGGGGATGAAGGAATGATTCTGGATCTCAGCAGAAACACAGGATAAGAGCCTAAGAGAGTAGAACGCAGTATTCCAAACTCCTTGTTGTATACTGAGGAAACAGAGCGAAGGCCAAAGTGGTTAAGTTACTGATCCTAGATTTCACAGAGTTGGTGGCAGAGATGGTGGAAAAGAATGCTTGGTGCAGGGGCATTCTATCTGCCTACCATATGTTTTTATCCACTCTAAATCTCTCCTCTTTATCATATACTTCTGTAATAATAAACTCTAAGGAGTTCTTTGAGTCATAAATAAGCATCAATGATCAACAGTCATTCTATTTTCAAATTGTGATTTTTTTCTTACCTTGTTCATTCAGATGTTAGCTTTCCTTCACAACCACAATAAAATCCCAGCCTTTATCTCTAAATTAGTATTTTACAACCTTCCTAATCTTAACCCTATTGGTACCCACAACCTATGTCAAAAACTTTCCTTTCCTTTCTACATTAGGCTAAAAAATCCTATGTTAGACTGCTGTCCTATAAAGTCATGTTTCTTTCATTTTTCTTTCCATGGCTTCTGTTCAGTCACTCACTTGCTCACGCATTCACTACGCATCAACCACTGTGTTAGGCACCAGACATACAAAGACAAAAAAGAGTTCACAGCTGATGTTCTGCTGTATGGATCATTATAATCTAAGAGAGTAAGTGAAATGACTGCACAATGTACAAAGTACTACAGAAGAACCGAGGAGTGCACCGAATCCAGCCTGGGGAACCAGGAGATGACACTATATTAAGCCTTGTAGAATGAGTAGGAGCTAGCCTGATGGAGGAAGGGCATTCTGGGCAGAGGGAACAGCATGAGTAAAAGCATGGAGAACAGGCTGTACACAGTTGGTGCTGCTGAAGCACAAGGTGGGAGGAGATGAAGCTGGAGAGTCTTAGGAGGCAAGATCACACTCTAGATAATACGATGAAATGAAGGCTTCTAAACCAGCACGTGAAACTGTCAGACTCGTGGTTTAGGGAGACACTCTCACTGGTCTGTGGGAACGAAAGAGAGGCAGGGAGACCAATCCACAGGCTTTTCAGAGGTTCAGCAGAGCCTCTCAAAATGAGCAATGGAAAGGAGATCAAGGGGATGAGTTGCATTCAAGAAAATGCAGGCTATAAAACTGGTATGACTTGGTTATAGCATTTAGGGGAGAGGGGGCAGGAAGTCTGTCACTGACTTCCAAGTATCTTGTATGGTTAATTGGTTAGATGACGAGACCAACAACAGGAGAGAGAATAAGGGAGCAGAGAGATATCAGGGAAGGTGCTGAGTTCAGGTGAAGATGCACTGAGTTGTATGCCTGTGAGAAATCTAGGAGGATAATAAGTTCTTGGTCTGCATTTGGATATATTATGAGGCTCAAGCAGGTATCACAGACAGAGTGACAGGGAAGCCCTTAGCTTAGAGTCGCTCCTATTATTCACTTTTCCTTAAAAGATTCAAAAGTTCGCTAGGCAGATAAAAAGAAAGACTGCATTGCATTTTGGGGGGTGGGGTGGGGAGAGCGACACTAAAGGCACATAACCTTGGTGTGCTTCTCTGGGCTGCCAGGGTCAGCCCTGGAGAGATCTGGATGCTGGGTGTCCTGCTGCGAGCAGAGCCCTTATGAGTCATTTTTCCTTCCTCCCTGTTTTTAGCGAACAGGTGTGCTCACACCCTAGATATTCTTGTCTGTTGCATAAACCAGATGGTTAGCATGTTACTTTAGCCAAGCAGCTGTATGCAGGCCATACATCTGCTAAAATGTTCCATTTGTTCCTGAGGGGAAAAGAGAATGTAACTCAAGTATGTTCCTAGGCCTGTACTGGTACACTGAAATCTCAATTCCTGCAAAGGTTTTTAACTAGAGGTGTGTGTCAGAATTACCTGTGGAGACTTTTTCAAATGACTCCAGCCTGTCCCTGGCCTGCTCCTGCTCCTACCAGGGGATTTTGATTTTGGTGAGAGAGGGTAACATTGGCAACCTAAGCTTGTGCATTTTTCTAAAGCGCCACAGGTGATGACAGAACTATTGCCTTTTGAGCCTGCAATGCATGGTGTTTCCCAGGTGCACTGGGTAGGAGAGTGTCTCCCCAGAATTCATGTCTACCTGGGACTTCAGAATATGGCCATACTTGGAAATAGTATATTTGCAGATGCAATCAATTATGTTAAGATCACAGTGGATTATGGTAAGCCATAATCCATTGAGTGGTGTCTTTATAAGAAAACAGAGACACAGAAGACAGGAAGGAATGCCATGTGAAGACAGAGGTCGAGAAAGCATCTACCAGCCAAGAAATGTCAACCAGCAGAAGCTAGAAGAGAGGCATAGAAAGATTCTCCCTCAGAACTTCCAGAAGGGGTGAACTCTGACAGCACCTAGATTTCAGACTTCTGGTCCCCAGAACTGTGAGAGAATAAATTCCTATTCTTTGAAGCCATCACAAGATACTATTTGAAGAGCTAAAAGCTGTCTTCTATCCATAGGTCCTATGCATGTTTCCAACAATGATTAGTGATCTTATCTGTTTCTTTTTCTTCACAGCATTTACTACCACCTGATACTCCATTATGTACGTATGCATTAGTTATCTGTCTTTTCCACTAGATTGAAAATGCCCTGAAAGGAAAAACTTTTTCCTGTTCATCCATGTATTCTCAACATCTAATATAATGTCTGAAATAAAGTAAGCACTCAGTAAATATGCTTGAATGAACGTCTTTACCTGCTAATGTTTGTTATTCAACAGGAAATGTCCCTCAGCTTTGAACATGATGATTCTTCTATGACCTTTGAAATACAAACAAAAACCAAACACCACAGTGAAATGAACAAAAGTGTATAGTTCGTATAAAATCTACGTACCTTAGCATAGTCTAATCTTCCTTTTTCTTGAGCCTAAAATTAGAAAAGAGGGGATATTAATTCAGTAGTTTCTTAAAAATGACTATTTCTGTAACTTTTGCTTCTCAAAGAATAAAACTAGAGAAAATCCCCCTCTGCGTGTGTATCAATTTATACACACATGTGTGCATATATAAGTTTACACACATATTTAGTGTGTTAATTAGCTATACTTGTAGTAATTTAGAATAAACCAAGCAGATCCTTTAGCTAATACTGCATTTTTAAATGGTCTCTGTTAGATGGCAATAACAGCAACAACAACTCTGTTAGTGGAAAACATTTTCCTCCATACATTAAACTACTACTGTGACGGTTTTCAAAGTATAGTCTGTGAAACTGCTAATTGCATTTTCCCCCAACATTTCATTATGAAAATTTTCAAACGTAGAGAAAAGTTGAAAGAACAGTACAAGGAACACACATATCCACTCTACCTAGACGTGACAGTAGCAGACCTCGTGTCTTTTCACCCCTGTGTACATGGGTGCACATTGTATAAGCACAGGACAGCTCATACATAACTACATGATCATTACCAGTTTAAAGGAACAATAATCCCGTATCATTTAACATACAGTCCATATTCAAATTTCCCCAATTGTTCAAAGAATATCTTTTATAACTTTTTCCACAAACCAGGATCACATTGCACTTAACTTTTTTTTTGGTTTTGTTTTTTAATTGAGATTCTAACTCAAGTGAATTTAGGGTAGGGCTTCTGACTCTGGGTGCACAACAGGCACCCTAGGGTGTGTCCAGTCTGCCCTTCTCCAGGCCTGATTTCATTGTGAAGGACAAAGAATTGAGCTGGAAAGGCAAGGGGCACTGTGAGCAGAGTAAAAGGGACCAGGACCCAGGTTATGATGAACACAGTGCCGTGCCTGCGCTGACCATGGATGTAAAGCCCCGTGGGCGAGGGTCCATGTTGCTGTCAGCTGCCCCAACTCTACAGAGTGGATCTGTTTCACAGGGTTTTCTTTTTAAAGTTTTATTGTGATTTGGGTAAAAGTTTACAGAGTAAATTCATTTTCAATTTAAAAAAATTTATTGTAAAATGTAGATGACAAAAAAAAAATTTTAAGTGTATAATTAAGTGGCACTAATTACATTCACCATGTTGTACAGTTACCACCACTATCCATTTCCAAGAGTTTTACATAACCTCAAATAGGAACTCAAGACCTCTTCAGCAATTACTCCCACTCCTTCCTTCCCCCAACCTCTGGTAACCACTAATAAACTTGGGTCTTTATGCATTTGTCTATTCTAGATATTTCATATAAACGGGATCAGACAATATTGGTACCTATGTGTCTACAAATTTCACTCAGCATAATGTTCTCAAGGTTCATCTATGCTGTAGCACGTATCAGGACTTCATTTCTGTTTATGGCTGAATAATATTTCACTGCATGTACTCACCACATTCTGTTTATCCATTCATCTGTGGATGGACAGTTGTGTTGTATCTACCTGTTGGCTATTGTGAATACTGCTGTAGTGAATACCAGTGTGTAAGTATCTGAATCCCTGCTTTCAATTCTTTAGGGTATGTACTTAGGGGTGGAATTGCTGGACCATTTAGCAAGGATTGTGAGGATGGCACAGGACCGGGCAGCACTTCGTTCTGTTATACACAGGGTCACTCTGAGGTGCAGTCGACTGGATGGCACCTAATAACACGGTAATTCTATGTTTAACTTTTTGAGGAATTGCCAAACTGTTTTCTACAACAGCTGAACCATTACAATCCCACCAGCAATTTCTCTACATTCTCACCAACACTTGTCAGTTTCCAATTGTTGGGGTAACAGTCATCCTAGTGGGGGCAAAGTTGTATGTCATTGTGGTTCTGATTGGCATTTTCCTAATAATTAATGACAATGAGCATATTTTCATGTGTTTTTCGGCCAGATGTGTATCTTCTTTGAAGAAATGTCTATGCAAGTTCTTTGCCCACTTTTAAAAATTAGGTTGTTTGTCTTTCTGTTGTTGAGTTGTAGAAGTTATTTATATATTATAGGTATTAAACCCTTATCTGATACGTGGTTCCCAAATATTTTCTTCCATTCAATAGGGTGTATTTTACTTTCTTGATAATGGCCTTTATGTACACAAGCTTTTCACTTTGATAAAGTCTAGTTTATCTATTTTGTCTTTTGTTGATTATGTTTTTGGTGTCATATCTAAGACTCCACTGTAAAAAACGACGACAAAAAACTAAGTCCAGAAGTTGGACCCCTATTTTTTGTTCTAAGAGTTTCATGGTTTTAGTTCTTATATTTAAGTTACTGACTTACACATTTGGCTTTAATATCATTTTTTAAAATCTAGAATAGCTCTTCTTCATTTTTCATGAAATGAGAATAAAACCATTAACTTTTTTTTCCCATGAAATCGTATCATTTTAGGAGGCATAAAACATCAGGCAATCTCACTATTGTTGTTGTCATTATGTGCCATTGAGTTGGATCTGACTCATAGAAACCCTATGTACGAGAGAACAAAACTGCCTGGTCCTAGGCCATCCTCATGGTCCTTGCTCTGCTGGAGCCCATCTTTGCAGCCACTGTGTCAATCCATCCTGTTAAAGGCTTTCCCCTTTTCTTTGCTGACCCTCCACTTTACCAAGCATGATCTCCTTCTCCAGGGACTGGTCCCTTCTGACAACATGACCAAAGTACGTGAGACAAAGTCTGGCCATTCTTGCTTCCAAGGAGCATTCCAGCTGCACTTCTTCCAGGACAGATTTGTTTGTTCTGGAAGTTCATGGTATTTTCAGTATTCTTCACCAACATCACAATTATTCACTGTCCAGCTTTGACATGTATATGAGGCAACTATACTATGGCTTGGGTGAGGTGCACCTTAGTTTTCAAAGTGGCATCTTTGCTCTTTAACACTTTAAAGAGGTCTTCTAGAGCAGATTTGCCCGGTGCAATATGAGGTCTGATTCTTCACTGCTGCTTTCAGGGACATTCATCGTGGATCCAAGTAAAATGAAATCCCTGACAATTGCAATCTTTTTTTCCATTTATTATGATGTTGTCTATTGGCCCAGTTGTGAGGAATTTTGTTTGTCACTATTAGTAAAGCTATAAATTTGATCATTTGATGAAGGTTGTAACTATCAGAGCACACCACTATAATGATACATTTCCTCCTATGTAAGCAATAAGTAAGCTATGGAGTCAAATTTTATTTAAAAAAATATTTAGTTATGAACATGTATATCAAATTTTGACATAATAGAGACAACCAACAGGTTAATCTTTGCTGTCAGGTCAACTTCAGAATAAAGTTTTTCCTATCACCTTTGCACATAACAAGAGCCCTTCAGGGTAGGTCCTGAGACTGCTTTGCTCCTGAGCCCAAAATGACACTATTCAGGTAATTAACATGGCCTGATTGTTGTCATGAGAGAAAGAGGCTGATAAAATTGGTCCTGACTTCTTTTGCTTTTTTGTAATCCTTTAAATATTTATTGAAAGATGCTGGTGTTTTAACTTTCTTATTTTCATAGTAAGTAAATTATAATAATACACTGCTCATGTGTAGCTGCTGCTACCATTACAAGCCATTGGAAGTTGAAATCTGTGACTTAAAACTTTTCAATGAAAGAAAAAGCTTCCACAACCAATGTACTATAGAACAAGAACTTGGCGTCTTCATTCCACTTGTCAAAGTTTTTCAGGGCCTAGAATTTTCGACTTGACGGCACATAACAACAACAGAATTTTCAGTGAACTGAGAGGAGTTCTGAGATGCATTGTACCACTGAGAATATGGGTGGGTTATTCAAGAAAATTTAAACCCAGGCTTATGCTACCTTCTGCTTAGATGTCTTATATTGTTTGTTTATCATAACCTTTTCCCAAAATAGAGCTTTATCTACACTGAAAATCTAACACCTCAGCTCCCTCATAACTTCTGCAGAAGTGGTAGGGAACTCCTGAACACATCTGTAAAGTGCATTCATAACCTAGTTACTCCTTTGGATATCGTGCAACTATTAACTGGCCCTGATCCTGTAAATAATTCATGGCTTGTGACCAAAATGTCAATAGCAGCAATATCACAACTGACTTAGCCTTTAAATTCTCAAACTCACAGCTTTCTCTTGAGTTCATTTTAAGTTAACAGGTGTCTCACACTGATGCTGATGCTGTCATAACGACCTTTCCACTTCTTCAATTTGTCCATCCTTTTCCTTATCTCTTGTTTGCCATGGATTACTCAGCACTTTTCAAACATTGTACCTACTGGGGGTCTTACAGAATTGTTTCTACTGTCCAAAAACTTACTCCATCAACAGAAGCCACTTCCTCACCACTTTTAATTTCGTTTCTGTTCTAACCACCCTCTCTTCATTCTCTCTTTCAACATTCTCATCTTTCAGTGTTTATCAAAAGATATGCTGAAAGCATTTGCTGAAAGTTAGGAAGTGGAGGAGCTTCTGTATCTTGAGATTGCAAGGTAAGCTGGGGAAAAACTAAATAATATACGACAGAAAGTGGACCTTTCCTTTTAGAGGTACTGAGCCATTTCCCAGCTTGACTTTTTAAAAAAAAAATTCAGCAGCAGTTTCTTCAGTAAGAAAAGTGAATTCAAAGTTGCTCGCAGATAAGAACACCCAAAAAGCATCATTGCATTTTCTATTACAAATTTAAAAAATATTTTATTATGGTATAATACACATTACATTAAATTTGCCACTTTAACCATTTTTAAGTATACCAAATTCAGTGACATTAATTACATTCACATTGTTATCCAACCATCACCACCACCTATTTCCAAAACTTTCTATCACCTCAAACAGAAACTCTGTATTCTTACGCAATAACTCTTCCTTCTCCTCTCCCCTCTAATCTACTTTCTGTCTCTATGAATCTGATTCCACATAAGTGGAATCATGAAATATTTATTCGTGTCTGGCTGATTTCACTTACCACAGTATTTTTTAAAGTTCATCCATGTTGTAAAACCAC